GGCCGAGGGGTGCAAAGGGCACATAGACCAAGCAAGAATCGGGTCCCCTCTCCTCTGACTGGTCCCAGTTTGCTGTCCACCCTTCTGGTCCTCTTGTCCCATGAAGTGGGAGGTGACGTTTTCGGGTGCCGCAGAGAGCTCCCGGGCGGTGGGTGTCACCTCAGACCCGCCTTCGCGCTGATGTAATGGGTGCTTGGCCACCCCGGGAGGTTTCTGGGCTGAACCACGCGCCTGCACCGAGGTGTCTGCACGGGGCGGCTGCAAAGCGGGTGGCAGGGGCCAGGTCAGGCGGGGACGGCTTTACCCGTCACCAGCATAAGCAGCAACCGCTCCTGCTCTCCGCTGGAGATCTCCAAGGGAGATCCAAGGCCAGAGCCACCACGGTTCCAGAGACATTGTAGGTGGAACAAGGCTGATTTATATCGGCTGACGCCTTCAGCTCCCCAAAACCTGCTAGAGCAAGGGGTGTCTGAGCCCCCTCGGGGGTACCGGCAGGCAGGAGGTTCTTGAGGTTCTCTCACCAGACCCGTCCTTCTGCCTCTCCTCTGCCAGGTTTCCGGGATGTCCACCTCCAAGCTCTCCTTGGCTTCGGGCTGCTGGTGGCCTTCCTCGGCCGCTACGGGCCAGGCAGCGTGGCCATCAGCATCCTCATCGTGGCCTTCGCCATCCAGTGGGCCATACTGATCCAGGGGTTTTTATACTTCTTCCTGAATGGCAAAATTTACGTGGGAGCTCAGAGGTAAGGCAGGAGGGAGCTGCTGCTGCCCAGCCGCCGTCGCCCCAGGTCCAGCCCTGGCACACTGGCTCCCTCCTCTGTAAAACTCACGGCTCTGCTTTGGAGGAGGATTACGAGGACGAGTAGGACCAGGCTGCTGGGTGTTTTGAGTATCACACTACCCTGCTTTCCCCAGCTCTCGTGCTCGTCCCCTGGCAGTGCCGGGTCCAGACCCATGCCTTCCTTCTCCTTCCCAGCTTGGTCAGCGCCGACTTCTGCACCGCGGCCATTCTGATCTCCGCTGGAGCTGTCCTGGGCAGGGTAAACCCCGTCCAGATGCTGCTGTTGACCCTGCTGGGAGTCACCCTCTTCACTCTCAACGAATACATCCTGCTCAGCCTCATGGGGGTGAGTCACCTACCGGGGGGCCCACCAGGAAGGGGATGACCACGGGTTTAGGCTCCTCATGTCAAGACCTGCTTCGTCTGTGGAGACAAATCCCATACCCCCTCTTCCTGCGCGGTGTTTTTCTGTACTTGCCAGGTAAGCGACAGCGGGGGCTCCTTGACTGTCCACACCTTCGGCGCCTATTTCGGCTTGATGGTCTCACGGATCTTGCACCAGCCCCATACGGACAAGAGGAAAGGGCAGCAGGACATGGGGCACCAGTCAGATGTCTTTGCTGTGGTTGGTACGGAGCTCAAATCCTACGACGCTAGAGTCATAGACACGGTGGCGGAAGGACCATCACCAACATTAGCGGCTGTGGCTTTGACCAGCAGAGTCCTGCAAACCATCAAGGACAGAGGTTCTTCACCTCCCTGGGGACCTGTCCTGGGGCTGCACCGCCCTCTCCAGGAAAAGGGTTTTTCTTGTGTCCAGCCTGAACCTCCCACACCGCGAGCCGTGGCCACTTGCATCTCTTGGCACTAGCAAGAAGCTTCTTTCTCACGAGGGACCAACCCCAACATCAATAAACCTGCCTGTTCCCCTTCCCCGCAGGAACCGTCTACCTGTGGATCTTCTGGCCCAGCTTCACCTCGGCCACCACTGCCCACGACAACGCCGAGCCCTGGGCAGTGCTGAACACCTACTTCTCGCTGGTGGCGAGCACCCTGGCCACCTTCGTCCTCTTGCCTGTCCTCTACGAGGAGAGCACCCTGCGGATGGTAGGTCCTCTCCTGAGACAAACCGAAGTCTCATGCACTGCCCACGTCCCGTCCTACAGCGGCGGCAAGCGTCGATACACCCGGGGCAAAAGGGGATGCCTGTTAGGATTTCTTCGGTTCGTTAAGACCCAGTTTCATCCCCGAGGAAGCCCAAATACCCCCAGTCCCACGCTGATGCCCTCCACGGAGCCAATTGCCCTGACCACGTCCTGCTCCATCAGGTTCAGATCCAGGATGCCACCTTGGCTGGCGCAGCTGTGATGGGCATGGCTGGGGAGATGCTGGTCACCCCCTTCGGGGCCCTCATCGCGGGCTTTCTGGCCGGTCT